CTAGGGAAACCAGATTCTTTTTTAACTTGAGTCAATATTCTAGTCACCTATCTACGTATCTGAGTTGAAACCACACTATTCCAATATATATTGACCCTCATGGAGAAAATCATCCAAAATTCTTACCAAAAAAATGGTTACTGGAAGGGCCCTAGGCCCTATGGTACCAATCATAAAATAAAGCACTCATCTCGGGGCTTGGCTCTGCAGTTTTAAATACCCAAAGTAGGAAATACTGATTGTAATGTGAATCAGTATGTGTCAATAACATAAACATTCCTTATTCAGAATATTTCCAGTTTTGCTGCTCCGCAATGGCAATGGATGCCTTACAGGTAACCTTGACGAAAATGAGTCACTACATCGGTTTGGAAGAAACAGATTGCTAAGGATATACCAAGTGACGTACTTTCCTAAATGATCATAAACATTTCCTGAAAATATGACGTTGGTGCAAGATGACTAAGTTGTCTGCAAATATGCATATTTCAAGCGCACTGACCTGAAAGAGATCACAGCTAAGTCTTGCTACAAATACAAACCACTTTCGTCCTGCAAGTGATGAATTAAAGTTTTACCAACGAAAGGAATACGAGCGTATAAAACAGGATGTAACCGGTGGCAATATTAATAAGTTGAGATATCCATCATCACAAAAGCACATCCGAGTATGAATTTCCATTGCATAATCTGAAATTTCCTTTCAACCAACTAAACACCTCGGTCAATAGACATGTACGTGAGTCTACGTGTGACTATTTGTGCACGAGACGATACTGTGGTCAGTCTTCCGGAGGTTCGGGTTTCAACAAAGAGAGCGACACCCACGTTACATCACTGGCGTCGCAGGGATTTTTTTTCTCAAGGAAAGAAAAATCCACATCGAATCCAGTCTACCTCTATAAAGCACACTTTAATAGCAGGAGAAATTCAAATGCACTATCCACGGATGTTAGGAGAGGAAGAGGGCGAAGTGAAATTTCTTGGAGCTGTCGATTGCCGCCTCTGACGCAGAGTGGATATGCACATTGAATGGTACCCCCCAAGCTAATCATATTGTCCGTTAATCGTGTAGCTCATAATTTAATGATGATAGCCTAATGAAGATTGGCAGCTATAACTATAGCTATACGCCGTAGGTGGAATTGATTTAACTACATCCTTCATATAGGAAAAGGACTGAACCCATGTACTAGCTTTTGCCATAGCTTTTGAAAGTGTTGCTGCAGGGGACCTTCCGCGATTAAGCTTATTTCAAGAAACATCGTCTTTCAGCTGAAAACTGGAAAAGGTATTGGGGTTTTTTTTTCTATTCCATAAAGTTCATAGTGAAATGGGATACAGCAAAGCAGAACGTCCTGAAAATTTTGTTGTTGTTTATATTTTTTTGCATATTCGTTGCTTAAACCCGGCTAAAACACCGGTACCGTTAACGTTTTATCAAGTCAGTGACTTGTTTTCATGACTGAATCATTTTAATTGACAATGTGCGATTAGTGATGATCTAAGAGAGATATTCATGCAAAGCGTATGGCTTGGTGATAAAATGAAGCTATGTAATGTAGTATAGTTTTAATCATGATTCATCAGAGGCATCGTTCAATGTGAACAGAATGACTCGGAATAACTTGCTAAAGTACCTTTTAACGAAAATCTTTCTTCCGCCTTCACTTCAAACCTTGGCTTTGATCACCAACGCGATAGATTCGTGCGACTTACTAAATAATCCTGTTTTTAACGCTAGGAACTCTCCCTCCTTAGTTTTCACATTACTATTATGTTTTGAACTAAAACTTCAAATTCACTAATTAACATTTTACAGGCGAACATCATTGCTGCCAATGCCTTTCCTTTGTAATATGATGTTTAATTTCGCATCTAGTCTACATAGACGACGTCGTTGAAACGGATCAGGGATTAAGTATGCTATATCTGCACTAGAGAGTGTTTTAAGGCCTTCAATCCTACTTCTTTCCGTACCGTCTACTTTTAAAATTCTTCTCGGTATAATTCTTCCCGTTTATCCCTTGATAAGACCACTCATTCCCGGCCAGCAGTTCAAAGGGATACGGATTATCGCTTCCTTTTAGCTGTTAAGAGCGAATTATGTAGATAACGCCCATCATCTGTCTCTTGGCTACAAATAGACTGTAGTCGCCGTACTGATCACATTTGACTACCTACTCTCTGGCAGTCGTGTCGAGAGCAGAAGGGAGAGGACAGCAGCCGTTTCTGAAGCTTCTGCCAGTGATCGGGTTTTCGCCTTCGCAGACGTACTGCACCTTACTGTTCAAGGTACGAATTTATACTATTCCCAACGTTTATTGTCGTACGAAATTCAAACTCTACTACTGGATACATTATGGAGGAGAATTTCCGGACGTTTCGGGTGGCATCCACCACTCTTCTTCAGTGTCACTAATGAACTAACAGAATCGTTAACACATACATGTATATATAGGAACAACTGGAAAACATGAAAAACGTGTGTGAGACGTGTAAGATGTAAAAGATAATAACTGTTTTTTTTTTTCAGTTGTTCCTATATATGTGTTAACGATTCTGTTAGTTCATTAGTGAGACTGAAGAAGAATGGTGGATGCCACTCGAAACGTCCGGAAAATATTCTCCGTTTTTTATCCAGTAGTAGAGTTTGAATTTCCCACGAATACTGTTTCCCTGGATGTCTAACCTTCATCAACGCAAAGTCTATTGTCAAGTGATATTCTCACAGAAGGAACACGGTAGTCAGCACTTTTTGTTTTGTTTTTATTTTTGTGGTTAAACAGTATAGTACACTCCCTTCTTGCTTGTGTTCATATATCTCACCCAGGTTTCATTTTGTTTTTCTAAACCTCAAAGCCTTGGTTTTAGATGACTTAAATTACAGTTAAAAGAACCACATGGTTTTTATATGTTGGAGACAGATGCCACGATGTGTCAAAGGGAGAATGTAGACGTTCTTAAAACGGAAAGCATAAGGGGCCAGGGGCAAGGACGAAAATAGAATGCTACCACACGACTGTTCATACCTTTCATGTCAAGGACTGAAAATTTTATGACCTAGTCGACTATCATTCGATTCGGTTCAGTCAGAATCATTAATATGCATCTAATGCAATTTTAGGGCTTTGAAACCGGCCTTTTTTTAAAGTTATATTCTAGTCACTTATTATTTTGCATACTATAAAAGTTTTAACGACACTATTTCAAAATATACCGACATTCATACAGCAAAAATACCCAAAATACTTATGAAAACGGTTACCGGGGGAACTCTGGGATGAAAAATAAAACACTCATCTTGGGGCTTGTTTGTGCAGTTTTAAGCCCAAAGTATGAAATACTGATCCAAATGTGCTAATCTGTGACAGTATTTTTCAATATCATACAGACTGCCTTATTAAGAATATTTACAGTTTCATACCCTGAATTTGCATTGGATGCCTTTAAATCTGCCTAAAACCTAATAGGGACAATCCTTGAAATTTATTCCGAGGCCAAGGATATGGTCCAAACCGTAATTATACAGAAGAGAGATCGCCAGCTTTTAGCATAAGTGATTTTCCAGGCTTGATATATAAATAAGTATTATGCCGTATACGTAGTTGCTACCAGTTGCACATAGAATTATTCTATATCTTGTATATAGGGTTAATCTACAATGTACGTAGACCATGAAGGTAGAAGAATTTCTCATCTGCTCAGAATTTTGTGGAGTCCGTCCGTCGTGGTTTTCATTACAAGTGCTACAGTGGCCTCGTCAACTTGCTTGTTGAGTCGGCTAAAAACTTTCCATCCCAATGATTTTTGCATGAAACAAAAATTTGCTTCTCAAACTATCTAAGATATATTTTACTGTACACTGTTTTGGGCTCTAATTATGCGAATTACAACTTGGACCGGAGAAAAAGCTTACATGTATCGACTACCGTAAGCTGTTTTGAAGACTTACTAATGATACCTTTATATCTTTTTGCAATTTTGTGTCTTAGCTTGCCACAGAGTATAAACTGCACCCCAAGTCAGCTTTTATAGCTGCCATTAATATTGTACACTAATGTACAGTACAGAGTCAAAAATAATAAACCATCCATTATTTAAGTGGGGTCGTGTGGCGTAGTGGCAGAGTGCGCGACTCGGAACTTAGAGTCCCGGGTTCGAGTCCTGACATGCCACCGATCTTGTGCCCTTGGGAAAGGCACTTTACACGACTTTCCTCACTTAGCTCAGGTGTAAATGAGTATTGTCCTGTCATGTATTTGTCCCCTGTGTTGGTGGCGGCATTAATATAAGTTGAAAAAACTTGAGTGTGTCGTCACCACGTCTGGTGATTACATGTTGGAATTAAAAAAAAAAACATCCATTCATTCAATCCAGGTTGACACCAATTCCCTTGAGTTTAATAAGAACTTAATCATATAGGCTCTATGCTTGTTCTGAGCGATAGAATTGTATGGTGGCATAATTCTAGCTTAGGGCTTGCAGAGTAGTGGCATAATAAGTAACCTAATAACATTTGGCAACAGCTTCGACCCATCAAAACAACATCGTGACTCGTATTTAGGCCATGTTGGATAACATCCGCATCCCGTTTGTTGCAAAAAAGTACATGTATTGGAAAATAATACTAATGTGATATAATGCCGAAATCAATTCAAGAAAATAAGAAAACGTGAAGAAATAAAAATAAGAGCCTGTTTTTATTCGCAATATCATACTCATTTGTGTGTTTAGTCCTTTGGTTAAACCTTTATGACCACGTAGATTTCATAATGAAGGAAACTTTTTTTGTCAAACATTTTTCATTCGCACGCTCTCGTCAGTTTTGAGGTTTCCAGAGGATGTCATCCATATAATCAAATCCACATGGCCTTAACCGACGATTCTTTCTATCTTTCGAATGTTTACTTTTTACGATAAGTACATGCTTTCATGTCGCCTTTTATTTTTGTTTCCTTTTTGTAATTTTTTATGTCTACTGAACCCAATTATATGAACCATGTGCATATGTGTTTGTGTAACGATTGTTGCAGGTAGCACCATGGGCATATTCGCACTTCTGGTGGTAACATTGGTAGTGG